CCCCTCCCCCTCCCCCCCCCTTTTCCCATCTCGCTTTGCTTTTTTGCTTTTTCTATTTCTATTTTCCTAGCCACCCTCCCTTTTCAGCATCCTCTGTGAGCTGTTCTGGCTGGACACAATTTATAAATGTCTGATTCAACAAAGTCAGCATTGTGTCTGGCATCTTTGCCACCAGCCAAAAGCCTGCGACTGAGCATTCGTGAAGGCTGTTTCACACAAAGTTTCCTGAAAACGCTGGTTGCAGGGGGCCCCGGAGGTCAGCCGGGCCAGCCTCCCACCCACCGCAGGGCTCGGCACCGGCCCGGGAGCAGAGCAATGCTTGGCGTTTTGGAGACCATTTCTGTGGCTGTTCCCACTGGTCCGTCTCCAGTGGTGGAGTCATGAGCATCAGCAAGGCTCCAGTATGGTAGCTGACACTTTAAGCACTGTCTTAAGCAATTTTGTGATGTTTGTAAAGAAAGCACAAAACTTGGGACAAAAAAATCCCCCCAAACCCAAATGAAGTTACAGTTCTAGCTGGTGATCCTTCAGGAACGAGAACCTGTGGCACGAAACCCTCTTGTTTTTGTTGTAGACCATGGCCAAGCCTTTTGCCTACCTGCACGAAGCAGCTTTGACTAGTCTGCTTTTTCTGGGACTTCAGTCTCTGTGCCTTTCACATGCAATGAGTATACTACTTTTTTCTGTAGTTGATTTAGGACAAAAATAAAGTATTTTATTTCCTGTATGCTGAATAATTTTGTGCAGCTTCAGATTTAACCTGACTTTTGGACATACACCCAATCAAGGAGATCAATATGCCTTTCTATTGCTAGAAGCAATAAATGACACGGTGAGGGAGGAAAGCCGTAAATATCCCCATGGCCATACCTTTGAAGCAATGCAGTTGCTTTCCCCTGGAAGTTTCATTTCTTCATGTTTTTACTTAAAAGCTTTTATTAATTTTAACTGCAGTAAATACACTGCTATACTTTGCTATTCAAATAAATCGTTTTTCAGCTCTGAGTCCTTGGAGTTTGAATCCTGTCCAGCCATTTTCTCCTATCTGCCAATTCCTTGCCAAGTGCAAACCTGACACTCTTGCCAATAAATCCACCTTCATGCCATTTAAAGTCATCTGCCGTCTTTTCTCTGGAGCTAATCAAAGTTTGCGAGAAGGCACCTTTTAAAGGGAACTGGCTCTAGAATTCGTGCCATTTAAATTACGCAAGTTAATTAAAAGCAATTGCAGCAAACTATAAAATAGAGAAGTGGTACAGATTGTTTGAAAGCTCACTATTTTTATTCTCTTTAGTGAATAATCTGAGAGGAAGTTTTCCAGGGATGAATTTGGTTTTTTTCATGCCGTTTTATGTGCTGCTCTCCTAATCCACTTTTTAGCCTCTCCTGAGTCCAACGCAGCAGAGCCCAGCCATCCTTCCTAAGTCGACTGCGTCCTGTTAAGCTCGAAGCACCATTTTATTTTTACCTTGTAAGACAGCTGGGCTGATAAATCGATGGGATCCCGGCACTCCAGGAGACACCCGCGGTGTCTGCACAGGTTAATGGTCTCATGTCATTCAAGAGCAGCATTCCCAGTGTCTTTGTGCGCGCACGCACGCACGCACGCACCATCGCACACAAAATTATAAAAGGATTAAGTCTGTGGAACATTTTTAACTTGTTTATTAGTGTCACGCTGTACACGGTGTATTCCAGCTATTTTTCTTTTATTAAAATGCAGTGACAGTGTCATTATATTGCTAATGTACCTACGGCTGATCTGAACCCCGAAATACCCAGTGGCCACCTGTGTTCTTCCAGGAAATTGAATTAATTGTTGAATTGTTGGAATTTCTTTTAAAAAATGTGCTACTCTCACCAGTTAATGCTATGTCTAGGGTTTAAACTATATTTCTGAGAGTGATTTATCGGTCCAGCAGAGAAGTCTGGTGCTAAACCTTTCCGCTGGGATTTGCTTACATTAGGAAGCGATGCAGGTGGCAGTCTATTTCAAAATGGAATGGGGTTTTTTTCCCCTCTCTTTCTGATAAATGAAGTGCTTATGTAAGGTGAGAGATTGAAAACAAAATGAGAAGCCTGAAGCCCTTGGAAGATCCCTCTGAAAGCTCCACATGTGGGCAGGGGAACACGGAGGTAAATTTGGTGCCGTTTCGGTACCCGCTCACCTTGGGTGCGGTGGGAACCTCCTGGCTGGGCCGGGGCCCGGCATCCAGGGGACGCTGCTCAGCAAAAGCTCCCCCCTGCAGCCCAGAGTTCGCGTTCAGACCCATCGGGCGTCACGCACAGCGCAAGAGGGTGTTTTGACACCAAACTCGTGTCTTCAGCCGCTCGGTTATAAATTGTTCCCATATTTTCGTGGTGGGCATCCTGCATTCTTTGAGCTTTTGCCTCCTGTTTTCATTTTGTGCATAATAGATAGGATCTGGGTTTGAATTAGCGCTCACCAAATTGTTCCGAAGCTTTCTCATACATGAGACCACTCCCTTTGGCTGCCGCTAATACCTATCACCTTTCTCCCAAATGATTCATTCCGTGTCACTTAATGACAAACATTTGATAGTTTTTACTGTCAGATATTATAGGTAAATCTCCAAACAGTGTCATATTTTAAATTATTGTGGCGGTTGATTAAATTTGCCTTTTTAAAAGGGACCCAGGTTCACTAATAGTGTTTCCTGCAATGCGCATCTGTAGAGAAAACCGAGATCTGACTTTTATAGTCAGAACCAATTAAGCTCATCCTCTCCCCCCCCACACCCCTTTCTCTGCTGCGTTCAGATGAATCCCATTTTTCAGGCCCAGTTCAAGCAGACTGTCAAGTCTCCGGGGCTCTCTGCCTCCTGGGCTCCGCATTCCCACTTGTCAGCTGTGAAAAATAATTCCCTTTTCGCAGTTGTGTCCAAGGAAAGTAAGATGATAAATCCACAGGTTAGATTTAAGGGGGGAGGGGGGAGGGGGGGGAAAGTGCATTATTGTTTTCTCAGCGTTGAATAAGGTTTTGTTCTAGGAGATACGGCTGCTGCGAGGCATGGGAGAGCGTTCTCAGCTTTAAACCTTTGTGTCTCATGAAGTTGTT